AGAAGTACTGAAATAGGGACTTGGTATCGTTATACCTGCCCGCCCGGTACATGGCAGCTATGATGGCATTGCAAGTGAAGACAGTTGGGCGGGTGTTTGAGAACACCGAATGACGAGCAACAGCGGCGGCAGAGTCGAGATCTCCGGCTCTTATAAGAGACTGCACGCGGTTGTGAAGGTTGAGTCTAGGCCCAACCAGAGCAGACGTGGAGTCAGGGAAGCGAGATCGGGGATCGTCGGAGGGAGGAGGTCTGGGAACTGTGTCGCGACGAAGGGCACCGAGCGGTGGCTCGATACGGAGCCGACGCTTCCTGCGACGGCGCTCAGCCGCGGCCTCCTCCGCGGAGGAGAAGGCGAAGGATCTGTGTGGGAGGAGGAGAAAGCTCGGATTTTGCTGGGGATTGGCGGAAATGAACCGAGTTTTGGCAGCGGCAGCCACACTAGCGGTGGAGGTGCGACGGAGAAGGAATCGATACATACACATGCTTTAAGGGGTTCAATTATGCAGACGGAGGAAATATCATGTAAAAAAAAGCAGAAGAATCAGAAAAGTTACAGAGAAGCATGAGCCTTAAACCCTTTCACTGCGTTTATTTGGAGGTAGGGAGAGGTACTTTCACAAAACTCTTTGTTTTTTGTTTTTCACGAAACACTTTTACTTTCTATTAAAAAATCACTTTTATCCTAATTTTTTCATAGCCTACCTATCACATCATACTTTTTCACTAATAACCAAACTATCCCATCTTACTTTTTTCCCATCACATCAGGGGCAAAATTAAAAAGTCAACCAAAATTACACTTTCCTTATTTTTTCACAAAGTCGAAACCGGAAGGGTTTTGTGGAACGGAGGGAGTACCTTGTTTGGTAACAAAAAGTGAGATAGGGCAAGGGAGGTATGGAGAGGTAGGGTTACCTCTCGAGAGTGCATTTTGGCTGACCCCCAATTTGGCTAAATATCACGGTAATAAATTATATTCTCCGTCGCTGCCCTTCACTCGATCGCCAATCGCCATCTTCTTCCAGTATTCCCATCGCCCTTCATTTTTTTGTTTCAATTTTCACTTTTTTGCTCTTCCGCATAGTTCACTTTTTTTGCTTTTTGCTCTTCCGCATAATCTTCCATCTTCTTCCGCATAGTTCATTTTTTTGTTTCAAATCCGATCCCCATCTGCTCACTTTTTTTTCACTTCGATTTTCCCTTTTTTTTCCAATTTCCAGATTTCCAGATTTTTTTTCTATTTCCAGCTTTTAATTTCCTCTGCTTTTTCACTTTTTTTCAGTTTCAAGTTTTGGTTCACTTTTTTTCAGTTTTCGTTTTTTTGTTTCCCTTTTTTTAGTTTTCGTTTTTTTGTTTCCCTTTTTGTGAAAGGTAATTTTATATAAATACATCCTAAACAAATAAAGAAAAACAACCACAAGGATATTTTAGTAATTTTATTCTTTCTTTTACCTCACGTTATCTAATAAACATCCAAACATAATTTTTTAATTCATTACCTTACCTTACCTACCTTCAATTACCCACCTAATAAACTTTTTACCTACTTTCAACCAAACATACCCTGTTTGGAAAGGGGAAATATGTCTTCCGCTAAATTTTTTGTGGTCTTTATTACTCTTTCTGTCCATGTTTACTACATATCCAAAAATAAGATAAAATATTAATTTTTTTCAATTTCATTTAAATATTAGTATAGAAATAAAAAATAAAATTCACATTTTTAAAAATTTAATGAAAAAGTTTTCGAAATAAGAGGTGTCAAAAATATTTTATTTTATCAAAAAATTAATAAAAATGCACAAATAGACAAAAGTTTTTGTGATGGTTGAAAAAGGAAATGTGGCAAACATTTCGGGACGGAGGGAGTATTATACTTTGACTATTACTATCTCCGTCCCTGAATATTTTTCTACATTGAACTTTTTCAGTTAACCATTTTCAACTTTTTACCTATAATTAAATTTTATATATATATATATATATATATATATATATATATATATATATATATATATATAGTATATTGATTACGTAAATAAATATTTTGAAAATATTTTATATAATAAATTTAATAAAATTATTTTTGTATCAATATCTAATAACATTTTTAGTTAATTTGAAGTCAAAGTTTACCAATTTTGACCAAAAAATTCTTAAAAGCGGACAAATATTCCAGGACGGATGGAGTAATCAATATTGTGTAGGAAGAAAATTTCCGAATGAAGAAAATATTTTAAATTTAGGTTCTCTTTTACTACATAGAATTGACGGAATTAGAATTGAATTGAAATTTGAATTCTAAAAATTGAATTAGATGGAATTGAATTCTCTAATTTTAATTCATTTTTTACACGACCAATTCCAAATTCAAATAATTTTGTTTACCAAACAACATGATTGGAATTGAAGTCTTCAATTCCAATTCTATGAGTTAAACTCCATGTCCCAAACGGAACATTAGAATAAATTCCATAAATGGTTCCCAAGTATAGGTAAGTTTTTCATATTTAGTACCTACTTTTAAGATATTACATAAATGTTTTTCAATTTTTAAAAATTATTCCATAAATAGTCCCTTAGATGACATATGACAAAATAATTCTTTCTACAAATAGTCCCTAAAGGACCGATTGTTGAATAGTTTTCAAAAATTGACGACTATTTATCTAAAACTAAATATAGGAAATACACTATAATTAAAGACAATTTATAGAATACAGGAATAAAAAGCATGCTCCATATTTGTTTCAATTCAGAAAAATACAAAAATACAGGAATAAAAAGCATGCTCCATATTTTTATCATATGAATAAGCATTAATAAAAATGAAAACAAAAAAAAAAGTCATCGTATTTCTAGGTGTTTTTGGTAATGAATATGTGGTATCCAACAATTCTCCATACTCAATAAACATACATAGTGTGGGGGTGAACATTGATTGGAGTTAGGATCAACAAATCCCTTCTGACAATATTTTGCCCGTTGGAATTGTTGATTAAATGCGAGCCTTTTTTGGAATATATTAGCACGGGTCGCATTCTACTCTTTATTTAGCACAATGTAAGATCAACCAAAGTGATCAAACCCCGTTTGAGATGATCGAATCTGAGACATGCACAAACAAAACATATATCAATTGCATCGTCTCAAGCAAAACAAGTATGAAAACCAATTGTTCTCAACCGCTCTTGACACTTCTTTTGAGCTTCCCGCCTCTACTTGGCCTGGCTCTGACTGTTTTTCTGGTTCTCCCTTCTCCTCGGGCACCGATTTCAACGATGAAGCATTTCCACCATCATTTACAAGCCTGCAGATACGTGAATATGTGTTATTATGCTGGACACTGGCTCGAGTCGGTCGACACAACGATGCCACTTGGGATGAAGTCGAAGGGGTTGGGGGTGGATTCGGGCCAGGATGGGTTATTTGCCTGGGGGGAGGGCTAAGGGGATTCATTTGGAAGCTACAAAGACGAAACCAACAAACACAGTAAAATCCTACAAAAAGTAAGGTCTGGGGAGGGCGTGTGTACGCAGGCCAATGCCCCAGTCTCCCCTACTCGAGATTATAGAGCGTACCAAGAGAGGAAAGAAAAAAAAAGGTAGCTTACAATGGGAAAGCAAAGGAACTGCTGCCGGCTCCACTCTCATCAGAAAGCCGCGGGGCATTCAAACAAGGAGTGGCTCTTCCTCCTCTTTCATCTGATTTGTTAGAGGTGATAGCAAATGAATGAATTTCACAAGATGCGGCGATCTTGCTATCGTCTTGTGTAGAAAATAATAATGGAGAATAATTTTGTATTGAATTGTCTTGGCGATTACAAAGATTCAACCCTCTTTATATAGATAGAGAGTCAAACAAATAAGTAAAATTCTATTCCTACCATAATTCATAATTCTATTCCTACTATAACAAGAATAGGAAAACTATCAAACCCTAAAACATATCCTAACACTCCCCCTCAAGTTGAGAATGAGGATCACGGATGAACAACTTGAATAATAAAACCTCGGGAAAAAATTGATAAATAACTTGAACTTGATCTGCTGTGACAACAACGAACGAAGGTGACTGGCCCTGCAAACGAACAATAAATTTTGATGACGAATGACTCCCACGCGGTGACACGGGGACGACTAACAAGCATCCCAAACTTGGAGGCCGTGTTGCCGGACTGAGGCGCGACTATGCGACCAACCTCACAAACAGATATGTCGAACTGAGGCGCGACTATGCGACCAACCTCACAAACAAACATGTTAAACATACAACTGGTTGCACTTGAACATACCAAATAGCAACCAAAAAAACAATGTCGCCAAAAACGTCATCAAATTTCAATGAACGACAGAGTGAACATAAAAACCTTCTTCCGCGGAGCGCGAACAAAACAAAACAAATAACCACTTTGGCAGATCAAACTTAGCAGACTCCAAACCAAAGTTTGGTTTTGTTTGGCGGGACATAACAAGCGGCAACGAAGAATAACAAAGGACGGTGGCGACGAGCATAGGGTTCCATGTTAGCAAACCGCAACTCACGGAGTAACAAACTCAAATCAAACTTTGAGGTGCCCAAACTTTTAGGCAAGGATAATCATCAACCTTTGTCTAGTAGAAGACAAATCACAAATACTACGTACATCCTAATTTTGAGGCACCAACACCAAATTTTTGCCAAACGGATACTGCTCCTGGACGACGAAACTGGGCTGCTCCACTGAGGCCACTGAGGCACTGATTATGTCTTGAAGATGATTTTTTTTTTCGATTGGGTGAAAAAAAATAGGTAGTGGGAATAGAAGGTGATGCCGCCGTCGCCGGACAAACCACCGGCGACGGCGACCGCGGAAGCAACGATTTAGAGTAAACTAGGGTTTAGGTTCCCCGGTTCGCTCCGATACCATGTAGAAAATAATAATGGAGAATAATTTTGTATTGAATTGTCTTGGCGATTACAAAGATTCAACCCTCTTTATATAGATAGAGAGTCAAACAAATAAGTAAAGTTCTATTCCTACCATAATTCATAATTCTATTCCTACTATAACAAGAATAGGAAAACTATCAAACCCTAAAACATATCCTAACATCTTGGGACTTTTGCTTCTGGTCCACTGGTTTTGGAGTTTTAATTACACTGGGTCCTTGTTGCACTTGCAATGCCTCAGATGTATGCTCAATCTTCTCCTCATTATCCAGTAATGCCCCTTCCATAACAGGGGGAAGTGCAGAGGAGAAGCTCTTGCGCTCATTATGTTGCTTAGTGGCTTCAGAAGGAAACGCCGCAGTCCCATCTTCAGATGTATTGTTCATCTGCAATAGTGCATTGTCTCTGGAAAAGCTATTATTACCCATGTGAACGCTGAACAATGACTCCGTAGACGCGACACTCCAGTCCACTGCTGCATCTGTAGGCTTGGTGTCAAAAACCGTGAGAGGAATGCGACTAGGATCATATCCTGTGAGTTGGGTGGTTTGATGTGATTGGTTCTCGGGGGATGAAGATGCGCAAGCGCTATCACTAGGAGAACCACTCATCATGCTCCATCGAGGCGTGTGGGTTGTAATGTCTTGACAAGATAACGATTCGGCATGGCTAGGTGAGTGCTCAGATTGTTCTGGATTGATTGTTTGATCTTCAAAACACGAAGAAGAAGAAGATGATGACGACGAGGAAGAAGAAGAAGAAGAAGAAGAAGGTATTGTTGTGCCTTCATGAAGGTGACTCTTGGGTGGCTTCTGTAAAGGGTTCTCATTTCCATCCCCATTCTCCATTCTTATCTTCTTCCTCCTCTTGGATTTGCACAACCTGATTGATGAAGATTGTTGCAGATCCAAGGACACTTCCTTCTGCACATGAGGGATCAAGAATCTTTCAATACTTTCTGGATTAGCATGCAACAAAACCATTTTCAAATCTTTGATTAATTTATTCATTTGTTTCTTCAGTCTTAACCCATATTTTATGATTTAGAAAAACAAAGAAAATTTTAGGGAGTTTACAACAACCTGCCTACATCAAATCCTTTTCCTTCTTCTTGAAAAATCAATAATGTACAAAGGCTCTGTTACGAAAAAAACAGAGAATTGATTATATGATTGCTTTTTAGCATTATTCATGGCCTTAACTGCAAAATATCAAATGATACAAGATAGAGAACATAAGTTGATTTAGTTGGTATTCGTTCATATACTAAAATCTTGAATTGATTTAAAAATAAATTAACTATTTCTAATTAAAAGCAATTGCAGCAACATTTAAGAGAAGATAAAAAAACAAAAGGAAATTGAACATACCTAAGGTTCAATGGGAATCGGCCCTTGAATATATATTGCCTGGACAATTTCAAATTTTGTTTAATTTTAAACTTGTCCTTGAAACAAGGGGATTTCGTTTTATGTAATCCATATATTTTTCCCTCATTGTTAAGGGAGGGCTAAGCGACCATTGCGGTTGATACTCATTTGCCATTTGGTATCCCGTCAACAAATGTTTTTAGTACCAATATGCTTATTAGCTCATTTTATGATATTTAATTCACAAAATGATTATATGTACAGGACCTTGATAAAAGCTAGAGATTCAATTATGCGTCAACGAAAAATATATGAAAGGTCTACATTTTACATGTAGACCTTATGATCACAATAGAACAACTATTATATGTAATATTTTGTATATTTTTTTGTCCTTTTAAAATATGTTCAACTTTTATATATATATATCGAGCCTACTACCTTAGACTATCTGTAGCGCTCCACCACCGTTCATTTCAAATCAACATCCACTTACGGTCACATCAGTATTGACTACACTCACCATCTCACTCACTTCACGCCCGTAGTGCCTCACTCTTGCAGCGATGTTTACACTTTTATTTCTACGGAGTATTTAATATTTACCTATTTACATTCAAACTAAATTATATCCTTTTTAAAAGAATAAAAATTTATTTTTTTATGTTTTCGGGTTTATTATTATATTCTGTTTCAGGTTTTTTTGTTTAAGCTTTTTCCATCCAAACTCTTCTTTTTTTATTTTTTTGGTTTTTTTTCTTTTCCGTCCACTTTTTTTGTTTTTCTTTACTTATTTACTTTGTTTTATACAATGTTGCTTCATACGATACATTTTTTAAAAATAAGAAGAGAAGTTTTATGCACAAATTTCTTTCCTTCACTTCATTTATAGCAAAACCAAAAACATAAACTAGTTTACTTTAAAAGGAAAAACATAAACTAGACGTAATTTCCATTTAAAAAATGTTCTTTCAATTCAAAAATGTTTGAGCAAAAATATAAGTGAGACATAACGTTAAACTTATATATGTATATTCGTGTCGTTGTCTAGATTATGTAAAAAGATTTCCAACACTATATTATTCGTCAAATATTGACCCACGAATAAAAAATTATGAACAAAATAGACGTTGCAATAGAAAAATTAAATGCAATGATTCCATAATATAAAATTAAAAAACATTTGCAGAAATCATTCCGTGGTCGTAGTCACTGATCCTCTCACACCATTGCCTCACAAGAAGAGGGGGTGCCAGGGTGGTGTTCACATGCTTTTATTGCCAAGGTGGCAAAGCCACTTAAGCTCACGAAATGTTCACCTTGAAGCATTACTGAGAGTCTTAGACGGAAGCGTATGGGTGACCATGGTGCGTCGTGATGGCCATGTGGCATCACCTCACCCTCTATCGCATAGTGGAGCACCACCCCCTCTATGATCTTGATGGAGTTGATGTCTGATCTATTTTCAATCCTCTATTTAGATACCCCTCACCTCTGTTTAAAATTCACACACTCTCTCTAGGTATTTCATAAACAAATTCTTCTCATCTCTCCAACTATTTCCCGAAATCATATTATGGATCTTAACCTTTGCAATTCCTTGAGTGGTAATGCCAATTTTTAAGAAATTCTCAACAAGTTCCAAGAATGGCCCGCCCTTCCCAGAGAACAATGTTGAGAGTGTTCCCAGAACACAACCTTCCTAAAAAATTCAAAGGGAACACCTTGAAGAGTTGAAATTACTTTTTTACTTACAATTTTTTTATTTTTGCCATTATGGACGGCCCGAAAAATAGATGACTTTTGGGACAGGATTACCACTCAATTCCACACCATTATAGGTTTCCATTCATATGTGACTTCTTGAGAAATAACCCTTTCATCCTCATCCACAAATTGTATTTTATCAGGAAAAACCTGTTGGACTTGGACTTCAACTTCGATTCTAGCAAAGTTCCATTTAGTTTTAGTGGTTGTGGCTTTATCTCTTTTAATGGGTTTTCCTATTAAACTCCTATACTTCATTTGGAGGTTAGGGAATTGGATCCAAATTGGTATATCACTCAGTTTTGTGGTATCAACTACTTTACCAAAGACCCAATTCTGAACCAGCATAGGTTTGTTATCGAAGAAGTAATACTTTCGTTTACTTATCTCATTCCTCTCTTCCACAGTTTTGAAATAGACATTGAACTCACCCTCCTTTGCAAATGATACATCAACAATATTATAACCTTTCCAGATCTGAGTAACAAAACCTTTAAAGACCTCTAAAGGGGGGTTAGCCCCAAGAACACAACATACTACAGCTTGGTCCCAGATCCCACAGTCTTCAATTATATCATCCTTTGTAAATTTTGCTACTCTCTGACCACCTATCTCATCTGATTGAAAAAATTTGAGATCTACCTGAAAGGGTTGAGTCTGCTTGAGAACATCTGCATATGATTTTTGCTAGACACCAACTGTAGAGTCCTCAGTATGATCTTCAATTTCGCCATTAGGAGCAACGACCTTCTTCTCCGAGTGATCATTCTGCGACATTACTGGTTCACAAATCTGTTGTTTCTTCCCATCTGTTGTTCTTTACCGGCGAGTTGAGAGTGTTGCCGGTTCAAGATCTATGGTTAGCTTGCGATTGATCAATCGTCGATCCGATCTTCCTAGGTCTTCCTTTCCTCTTCGCCATAGAGAGAGAAACAGAAAACTCAACGTTTAGGTATGTGATTTTATATCTTGCATGGTATGTTTGAGAGTAGAAGAAAGTCGATACTCGTTTTATATACTAATATCTTATCCGATTGAAGTATTTTGGTATACCCCGAAATAACTTTAATCTAAAAGCGTGATCTCTCTTTATGTCAAAGAGGAAAGGAAGACCTAGGAAGACCGGATCGACGATTGATCAATCGCAAGCTAACCATGGATCTTGAACCGGCAACACACTCAACTCACCGGTAAAGAAAACAACAGATGGGAAGAAACAACAGATTTGTGAACCAGTAATGTCATAGAATGATCACTCGGAGAAGAAGGTCGTTGCTCCTAATGGCGAAATTGAAGATCATACTGAGGACTCTACAGCTGGTGTCCAGCAGAAATCATATGCAAATGTTCTCAAGCAAACTCAACCCTCTCAGGTATATCTCAAATTTATTCAATCAGATGAGATAGGTGGTCAAGAGCTTGTTCATGTAAAGTTTAACTTTTTTTGCCAACTTAATCAAGGTAGAACTTTTTACAATTGATGAATGATTATTTCCTCCACCCCCACCCCAAGTAGTTTAATAAAACCACTTGTCCCTTGACCTAGCAAGATTATTCTTACAAATGAAAGTTGGTTCAAAATTGAACTTTTTGTAGTTTTGTTGGTTGTATGATGCCTTCTTTCACCTTTGTTGATACTCTTCACATATAGAGACCCAATCCTGTGAGGTTTCTCTACTTGCAGTTTAACTTAGCTTTTGAATTTTGATCTCTTCAATTATACCAAAAAATTATGATCTCTGCTTAAGAGATGTAGGTGCAATTCAACCCTAAAAATTAATGTAAAAGATTGAGGTTTCTAAACTATTATATACACCATAATAAACACTATAACTTTTATTAGAGGACAAAGGAAGTATAATTTTTCTAACGAGCTTGAACCACTAGTTCAATCGCTTCCATCAGTTGAACCAATGTATGAACTCCTTCAATTTTTTTTAAATTATAGTGTTTATCATAATTAAAGATGATGTCTTTTTGAGGATTTGAGTTTCTCCCTACAAGTAAAGGCTTTAATTTGGCTTTGTCTTATAAAGAATTGTGCTATGTTCAAGCAATCCCATATAATCGAACCAATAATATCAATTTCTATCTTTTTTTTTAACGAATATCTTGGGTCTTTATTGCTGTAGCCCAAAGACTTTTCATTTTTAGAAATATTATAGAGAATTAGATGCTCTTTTTATTGAGAATCAATGAAAGGTTTAATGAAGTGGATGGGATATAGAAGGATGTTAGTAGAATGGAGCAGCTACCACTGGTTAGAATAAATTCAAAATATTAGCACCTCCAAATTCAAATATAACTCGTATATTTGGCACTGAATTAACACATTACATTTCAGATGTGTATTTTAGAATCACGGAAACACAATTCATCTCGTAAAGTGTATAACTGTTGTCCCGACTAAATTCTACTAGTGTTATAAGAAAAATAAATAACTTCTTCACTCGTGTGTGTATATATATATATATACTGTATTTAAAAGGTATATATTAAAAAAAAAGTTCTTGTGCCACACACAAATCTCACCTCCTCCTAGCAGCAAATGGGACATCGTATGAGCCCATTCTCGTTACAATCGGGGCACCGTTGAAACCCGAAACCCACTTCTCCTTCTTCCTCCTCGCGATAAATTTTGCAACTCCCCGAGCATGTCTCGCATGGAACAAACCTAATGTCCCCACAGGTCTCGCAAGGGTCGCCCCCATTGCTATTACTATTACTATTACTATTACTCTTACAGGAGTAGCCATCAACGACAACCCTTTCACACCCTTGTATGGCCATCTCAAGCTGCCCGTTCTCGTGCATTCGCCTTATCTCTTCAGCCCCGCCGAGGCACTTTCTCCCCACAAACACGCTTGGCAAGCAACCACTTCTAATGTAGCCATCCCCCAGAAGCTCTTTCAACTCCTCTTTGAACCCGGAATCCATAGACAAATCCCTTTCGTCGCTCTTCACCCCGAGCCCCTTCAAAATTGCCCTGACATTGCAACAATCTTCGTACGTCTTTCTCACCCCCCTCAGGCTCGTGAAGTAGACCACGACTCTCTTCTTCATCGGCTCCTCATTATTCGCCTCCTGTGATGTTTCTTTATCCTTGTGAGTCAATTCTTTCCATTCACTACTTGTCTCCGATGGTGTTTCTTTGTCCTTGAGAGTGAACTCTTTCCATTCATTACTTGTCTCCGATGATGTTCCTTTGGGTGTGGGCCGATCATCGCAATGGAACGAACACAAATTAGGAGAAAGATCAAAGGAGAAGCTTCGGACAAAGGAAGGGTTAGGGCTGATAACGCCTCCGCCTTCGAGGCCCTCCATCAGTTCCCAAGCATTGATCGTCTCGGGCTCGCCCGGAGGAGTCCGGATAGGCGTCTTGGGAACAACCCTCTCAATTTTTTGGTTGATCATCTCCGACCACGCTTTCGACTCCACCAATCCTAAGCCCTTGTCATCGCAGCCGCTGCGGTTGATCAGACGAACCTGATTCGGGTTCGGGGAGTCGAGCTTGAGAGATCCAATGGTGGAGGATGTGAGGGCAACGGCGTGGTGGAACTCCCCGCCGTGGGTTGAGTTCCTCCGGCGGACGGGAGAGCAGGGGGCGTTGCATTTGGCACAAAGTGTTTGTTTTGAAGTCGCACACCCCATTGTTGCCAAAACAACTTCAAACCCCAGATTCAAATTGACCTTCCTTCCTTCTACTGCAGATCAAGAAAGGAGAGGAGAGCTAAGATTCCAAGATTTTGTGTCAAGAAAAAATTAGCATAAATAAAAATTGGGGAAATTGATGATCCAAAGATAGGCATGCCCCCATTGCAAAGATAAAGAAAGAAACATTCAGTTGGATCCCAGATTCCCAGGGAATGATATAACTATATTGCCTCAAAGCTCAACCAGTGGATTAAAAAGTCAAATATCAAATCTTTCGTCCACACTACCATTTCTCGAAATGGGAAAAATAATAATCAAAGCTGAATCTAAAGTATTGCGACTCATAAAGAATCTCAATCATACACTCGATATATACACGATAAAGTACTCCCTAGCAAATGAGTAGCTTCAACTAGGGCTTGGTTGGGAGAAACCAAAAACTGTGATTCAAACCCAAACCGATCGAAACATTATTGTTTGATTTTCGTTTGGTTTTCACTTTGGAAAACTGAATAAACAGAACTTTCTTAGATAATTCGCTTTATTTATATGAGTATGTATGACATGAAAAAAAATCATAAAAATATAAGTGTAAATAATCGATTAGTCAATTATATTTTTTGTAACTATTCAACATTTTAAACCATATTATAAACTTTAAAAAATCCTAAAAATATAAACATTAATAACTAATCCTAATGCAGAATTATATTAACATTAACAAGCGATACGAGTAATTTATATATTTACATGAGAAAACTTTGATGCTATAATAGAAATGGAAGTATTGTACCAAAAACGCAAATTCTCTATCATACCAAAGCTCTGGGAGTATTTTGAAGCTTCTAGATGTTTGTTGGGCACTTGATATATTTTTTGTGTAAAATTAAACCGAATCGAACTCTAACATTCCGTTCAGTTTTGGGTTTTATGTAAAAATCAAACCAAAAAACATGGACCCAACCCTATATATTGTTATTACTTCATCGAATCAGTGTTGTACAAATTTTTAATTCTTATAAAGTTATAAGTTTTATTTTTAAATCTGAAAAACTAAAAAAAACAAAATAACAATCGCAAAAAACTTAACTGAATAGCCAACAATTTATATTTTTTTTTATGTGAAACCGAACCGAACCGCCAACTTACCTTCTGTTTTGTCTTTGGTTTTAGGTAAAAAATTGAACCGCCAAAATCGAACTCACCTCTAGCTTCAACTCAATCAATCAAGAGTGCTTCTTCGGTGCACTTTGGGTGCATACATTTTTGTGAACTTTCTGACATAAAAAAGTCTTTTTTATTTAAAAAACAAATGTTTATTTAGGTAGTAAATAAATGCTTATTTTGCTCATATATAGGTTCATGATAACTTTAGGTCTACTATAGAATTTGTCATCAATCAAAAACCGATGCATTTTGACCATTAATAAATATAGAGTATGAAAGAGTATAATTTTTGTAACGCTCCAAAACATACCCTAGAATTATCAATAAGATAATTATTCAATTAATCAAATTTCTTTTGATTAAAATAAATTATTGTTAGACTTAAGGCCAAAATAATATGTGTTTTATATATATAGTATTACAATCAGGATAAGTCTCATAGAGATAAATCCAAAATGTTGACTTATTATGTGACCTTGATTAGGAACTAGAGTATAGACCCAAATCAAGGATAAATGAAGATATTGTTGTGATATGAAATTTGAAATAAATTCTTGGAATAAACCATGAGAATAAATTAAATGTAAGAACCTTTTATGATAAAAGTCAACTAAACTAATTTTGACTCTGACAAAGTCAAACACCCAAAAATATGATGTCGTAAAAAGTATTACAAATAAATATAAAAATTATATCGTTAGATAGAGTTTAATTGTATGATCACAACGGTACAAACGGATTTCAATTCGGAGAAAGTTGGACCAAAAAGTGTACCCCAAATGGGACCAAAATCAGTCCCAATCAGGGAATCAAACAAACGGCGGGCTACTGTGCGAACGGCGCACTAGCCGATTCCCCGATCCTGGAAATCACTCAATCCCATGTCTTCTTCTTCCTCCTACTACTATATAAGAGGAACTCATCTTCCTCATTTCTTCACCAAAATCTACAATTCTTCCTTTTATCCTGCTGCTCTGAGTGAGGAGAATACACTGGTGCTGTCAGCTCTATGAGAGGTCGCCGGAGTAGAAAGATATAGTCGCCAGAAGTTTCGTTGGAAAATCTTCAAAACCTTCATTTACCTTCGAGGTAAGTCCGTAGATATATTTAATAACTAGAATGTTCATATAGGTCGTTTCTACGTTCATAAATGGTCATTTGGTTGAGTTTATGTTTGACATGTTTAAAGAACTAAGAATTATAAACCTTGAATTTGATGTTAAAATTATGAATTAATGATACCAAAATGATCCATGAACATTGGAGAACATTTCTATATAGTTTAATTGAAATTTGGTGACTAAAAACGAAATTCTCGAAAATAGACCCGCGGAGGAAGACGATGAACAGTGCACGGTAACCCACTACTGCCGGCACGGTAGGTAGGTACCGTCTAAACGGTACCCATCTACCGCCGGGACGGTAGGGAGCTACCGTCGCCACCAAGCTCCTCTGGCGGTACCTGTCCACCGGCAGTACCCCCCTACCGCCGGCACGGTACCGAGATATCGTTAGCCGGTATTGAGGTACCGTGAAGGGTACCGTCTGATCCGATTAATTTCTAGAAAATCCAATTTTCGAACCATTAAATCCTATTTTTGACACTAATCAATTATGATCAATATCAATAATAAATTCTGGAAATAAAAATGATGTTTTGACAATTAAAGACCTTACGTGATGCATGATGGTAAGCTAAGGTGTTAACACTCGAAGTTAGACCGCTAATTGCTATTGCTTTGAGTGTTATGATTATGATGCATGATTATTATGGATTAATGATGATGATTATTCTGAATAAAATAATGATTATAAAGTATTGAACTGAAATCAAAATAAATGGGTTGATAAAAATGAGTGGTATTGTTAAGGCTATCTAGAGAACCTTTAAGATAGACCTCCGATTAGAATGGGCCTTGCGGGTATAAACATGTATATTCGGTGGCCTTGGGTAAAAACGTACGTACGGGATCCATAAACCAAACTAGAGGAACTCTTTTGGGGATACCACCCAACCCGACCGTTAGTATTCTGCTGTTCGGTTTTCTAGACTTGTACCTTAAGCGAAGGCTAGTTTAAGAGTTGGTAAATTAATCGGAAAAATATGCACCTTAAACTAAGGACCTAGCTTAAGAGTTGGTTAGAAGTACCTTAAACTAGAATGAAGTTTAAGAGTTGGTAAATATCACAAAGATTGGCCTTACACTAAGCATAGTTTAAGGATATTGTGCATTATTGAAATATTGAAATAAAAATCTTGAGAATATCATGAATGACTTTTATAATGTGTGCATGATATCAAATGATTGTTTGTGAATTGAGATTCAATTTATGTGGATGTTCGATGCTTTAGATATGCTTACTCAGCTTCATCGGAGCGTGTAGTGTATTTTATTTCCTACACGCAGGTAGGCAGAATGAGTGATTGACATGATCCTGGCAGCGGAAGGGGCGAGACTGTCATGGTGGAAATTGTGATTTTTAAATGAATAATTGTGCTGTTATTACATATGGTTTAAATTGCTTCCGCACTATTAATAAACACTCCGTATTTTGCTACAGTTATGTATTAAATAATATTTATGATGAATAAAAGTATTTAAAATGTTTTAAATTTTACGATTTCCAAGTTAATACTTTAGTCCGAAAGGAGGGTGTTACAATTTTAAATAAATATTCAGTTTTTTTATAGAGAGAACTTCCTCAATAAGAGTAATAAACTATGAACATACAAAATATGAATGCTAAGTATTTTAAGACCAAAATAAAAAATCACACTGTGATTGTTACACGGCCACAGTCACCACATTGTCACTCTACAACTGTCGCACTATTGCTGCCAAACTTCCATCTGCCGCAGCCGACCACCAGAGTATCGTCGTTGATCACCGATAGTTGACTGATCACACTATCATATTACATTGTTATCACTTTTCCATCACACTGCTAATACATACTCCTACATCACACTGTCATCATACTCAGATTTTTATCTTGAAAAACTAAAAACTCCTATCTTGTATTTTGATATTTTTCATTTTTATCCAATGCAATTTCTTATTCATATAGCATGTATTTAGTTGGAACTGGACCAGATCAAAGTGCGGACCGGGTCGGGCTATACATTATGAGAAGTTTCTAAGCCCGAGCATGGCCCGGCCCATAGAGCGGCCTAACAATTGAAGCCCGAGCCCGGCTTGCATGGATACCCACAGGATTCGAACCGGCTTGGTCCGCATGTCAAAAAAATTTAAATACTTCCTCCGTCCAAAAACTATCTTCCCGTTGCACGTTACGATGCTTGATTGAAGTTATTTTTCAGAACATTTTATATGAAAAAAAGTGTGAAATTAAAAAAATAAAAATTACATATTAAAAGAATATATATCAAAAGATCTACAAAACTAGAGTTGACATGACTATATTATTGCATCAAATGGGTAACAGAAATGGGCCAACAAAGTGAATAAACAATGTTGATCTTGTGAATACTGAACGAGAAGATAATATTTTGACAGATGAAGTATTAAAAAAAAATTTAAAAATAAGGTTAGGTGCTAATATATTAGAAGTTTAATAAAATAACTATAAAAATGAGTAAATGAAAGAACAACTAATATATAAAATGTATTTTGTTTGATGATCTTAGGAATATAAAATGTTATTTATTAGAATATGATTATCAATGTGTGATGCGTAGTAAACAATACATAATAAAAGTATGTGTGTGATTATAATAATTTTAAATAGAATTTTTCTTTGTATTATTATTAATTTTAATGTTGTTACTATTATTTTATCATTATAATTAAACTAATAAAAAATGTTGTAATTCATTTGGGTCGGGTCGCACCGTGGGCTTGAGCATAAAACTCGAGCCCGGTACTAAAATATTTGGGCCGCTATTTATAAGGCCCAAGCCCGGCCCGTTCCCTAAAAAGTCAAGCCCAATCCCACTATTTTGTAGGCAAGCTTTTGCGGGCGGATCGAATACTCGAGCATGTGCTCGGGTCTCGTCAAAACTATATTTAGCAATGTTCAACGTGGGATTTATAGCATTTTGCATCATCAAAAAAGACAAAATGCACCCTCCCATCCTCCAATCTTATAATTCAACTTTAAAGCAAATAAACATCTGACTTCAAAAAAAAACATCTAATTTTGCTACCGGCTTTT